CCCTGGCCTGCTGCTCCTTCCGCCAGGCTCCCCACCTGCTCTGTGCCCTGGCCTCCTCACACCACCTCACCAGCTCAGCGGGCACATGTAAGAGCCACGCATCCCCACTTCTTCCAGAAGGAGGTGTGCTCGGGATCCCACACCCAAATGTACCACACATTCCTTTTAGGGACTCAACTTTCCTTACCTGTGAAATGGGTAAACAGTCCCTGCCAGTCACATGGCTCCTTTCTTCTGAGATCAAAGCCCTCTGCAAACTCCCCCATTAATTTATATAATCGCTCCAGGGACTAAAGCAAATACAAGGCTTAATTACCCCTATTTCAGAGATGAAATGAAGCCCAGAAACAAATAAGGGTATTGCCCAAGGTCCTGTAAGCTGTTGGGGTCAAAGCACCGGAGGTCCAAGTCCCCTTCCATCCCTGGTGTTCTAACATCACAAGCATCTTTGCCCCACCTGCTCCGCCCATCACGGGAGAGCCATGAAGATTAGTTATAAGGCTGTCCAAGTTGCAGAGCTTACAATCCCACGCAAGCCCGCTGATTACCTAGGCCCAGCTTCAGTCCCTGCCTCCAGGATGGAGGTGGCTCACGTCCTCGCCCTCTGACAACAGTTCTGGGCCTGGGCTTTACTGTGGCACTGCCCACCCCTGGACGTTACCGATGCCTTTCTTTCGGAAGTCACAGAGACGTTCCCTGATTCTCAGGGCCACTCAGTGAGGTTGAACACAGCACGCACCTCTCTGGGTTCGTAATTCAGAAACGGCGGGAGAAGCACACGACACTCTGCCCAAGGCCCACAAAGCAGATGCCCCTGAAGCCCGGTCACCCGATGTGCCAGAAAAATCCAAACTGGCACTTCTCACAGTGGCCACAACCACCAAGGATGTCACCATGCAGAGAACTGGGACATTACTGAGAAGTCACCTGGGGCCCCAGGGTCCAGGGGCTCTGTTTCCGGAGGGCCTGACAAGTGCAATTACCAGGCCCCTTGGCACCCCAGGCCCTGACTCAGACCCCCTTCTGCTTACCCAGGGGCCCAGGAGGATGCTGGGTACTGCTCAGGTGGTGTCTGGGGACTGCTGCTTGGGGGAGGGGACAGGAGAGAAGACACAAGCCCCTTGAAGGCAGGGAGATTGTCTTGCTCACCTCTGTCTTCCCAGCGCCTGGCCAAGCCTCTGGCACGCTGATAGCTCACAGCAGTGCTTGCGAAAGATGGACCGAGGCAGGGAGGGAGAGACCCAGGCAGAGAGGGAGAGACCCAGGCAGGGAGGGAGAGACCGAGGCAGGGAGGGAGAGACCCAGGCAGGGAGGGAGAGACTGAGGCAGGGAGGCAGAGACCGAGGCAGGGAGGGAGAGACCCAGGCAGGGAGGGAGAGACCGAGGCAGGGAGGGAGAGAACAGGTCGGTCAGCTGGCAGACAGTCAGACAAGACACGGAGGTGCGGGAACAGGGCTCCCCCCCTTCTCCCGCCCCCCCTCATTTCTCCATGCCTTCACTGAGTAAACATTTATGGAGCCGTTACTACGTGCCAAGAACTGCACCAGACCCCACGGCAAAGGAGGCAGGATGAATGAGGTGTAAATAAACACCAAGTTCTTACTATGTGCCAGGCACAACCTGAACGTATAAACACTGGTACTAACTACCCCCAGCTCAATTCCGTTTTAAAAAGCAAAAACTTCACCACCACTCACAGCGAGTGCAGGTACCAGGGGATGTGACACAGCTGGGGGCCGGAGCAGTAAGCTACGGGGAGGTGGCCGGCTCTGAGGGCTGGGGGCTCTGAGGGCTGGGGCGTGAGAAGCCCGCCAGGCCTCCCTGAAGGTGGGGGGAAGTGCTGCTGCTTGTGCGGGGACAGGAGTCAGAGGGCCACAGGCAGGTGACAGCGGGGCCCTGGCAGGAGCGGCTGCAGATCCCCATGGCTGGGAGAAGGGAACCGGAGGCTGCCGAGGCAGGCAGGTGGCTACACAGCCCTCACGGGTCCAGCAAGACCAACACCTCTTTTGGGGGGGTGACGCCATCGACTCAAAGATCAGACAGGGACCAGAGTGGGAAAGGCCACGCATGTGCTAATCCGTGTTCCCTCCACAAGAAGAGAAAAATCTCAGTTTCCCTGTCAATAACCCAAGAAGGAAAAAAACTTCCTTTCCTTTCTCTTTTGGCTCCTCTGCAGCTTTCACCTCCAGGCAGGCACCTGCGGCCAAGGCCAAGCCACCGGATGGGGAGTGTGTCCCTCTGGAAAAGCGGGGGCTCAGCCCAGCTCGGGTACTTCCTGCGGGCAGGGGGGCAGCCAGGCTTGGCCAGACCTGCTGGGTCCCCCGGGGAAGCTAGAAATCCAGATCCAGGTGACCTCTCTCCAACTTTTAAGTTGTAGTAGCCAATTCAAAAGTTGTAAAACAACAACAATAACAACAACAACAACTGGGCGGGGTGCGGTTTGTCAACAGCTCCCTCCAGGAGAGACACGTGCCTGCCACAGGAAAGGAGGGAGGGCAGGGGGCGAGGTGACAAACACCTTCCCCAGGCCCCCTGGAGCTCCCCTCCGGCAGCAAGCAGAACCAAGGGGGCAGGATCGAGTGAAGATAGCAGGCCCAAAGGTGACTCCACTACACCCCAGGGGACTCAGGCCACTTTCCCACCGCTCCCTGGGGTGGGGAGGAGGGGGCTGAGAATGGAGCTGTGGAGAGGGGATGCTGGGAAGGGCTCAAACTCTGGGCCGTCTTCCAGCTCTGTCTTTAATGGGGGTGGGGGGGAGCAACGTCTGGATGGCACTTGCTCAATGTGGATCTTTGCCAGGACTGTTGAGCTCAAAAAGTTTCAACTGATATCAGAGCCTTTACAAGCATAAATTAAAAAAAAAAAAAAAAAAAAGAGTAAAGACAAAAAGCAAAAGACAGTCTTTTCTAAGCTCAGATCAGAATAAGGTGTGCCAGCCTTGGAGATGGCTTGCGATGCCCAGGGCCCCCTGCCTCTGTCTGAACAGTCAATGCTAGCTCTCCCCTGATAGGATGCAGAGAAAAGCACTGATGCCCGGGGTTTGCCCTTTGGCTCCATAACCCTTTAGCTGTGTGACCTTGATCAAGTCTCTTAACCTCAGTTTCCTTAGCTGGAAAATGGGCACCATGACGGTAATCCCACCTTAGGGGTTGTGTGCCTCGGATGAGCAAACGGCCCTGGAGAGGGCTTTGCAAGCTCCTGAGCATGGGACAAATGTTAATTACTCTGCCTCTTGGGGGTAATCCGATGATTAGGGGCAACTCTTGACACCCCTGGGGCTCGATATAGAGTCAAGCAAATGTGACTGCTATTACTGATTCAGAAGACAGAACTGGGACTAAGCAGGGTGCCTCTGTTTCCCCGGCTCCCACTGGCAGACAAAGCACATGTTCCTATCACTCCCCTCCTCACCATAAGGAGACCACGCTGACCCGCCAGCTACTTCAAGCCCAAAATCACACTGCAAGGAGAGTTGCAAAGGCCTTGGGCTTGTGAAATTCCCACATCCCCTTACGGCAGCACAAGAAGTAGTTACCATAGCAACCTGCACAGCTCAGTGTGCCTGAGTTAGAGAGACCTGGCCCCATCCCAGCCCTCCTGTCAAAAACACCTGCGGTTGCCTTAGAAACCTTCCTATTCCTGCTGCTTAATGACGACAGATTTGTTGACCTGATCTAGTTTTCTTTCCCTAGAATGATTCTAGCCGTGCACCCGAGTATCAGACCATTAGTCACCTGACTTCCCACAGGAGTTAATAAAAACAAATCAAACCATCATGCGCTCCTCACTTGGTCCAAAGCACCATGGACCTGACCTTCCCTTCAATTTTAAAGTTGGTGTGTAAGCGCCAGAAGGGAGCCTCCTGAAGTTTCCTCTCTAAGGAATTTCTGAGGTTGGGGCAGGGAACTCCTCCCCATTCCCCAGCGCTAAACAGTTAAGACAGCAGGAAGGGAAGTGGAAAGAGTTCAGGGCTTAAGAGCCAAATATTCCTGGATTTAAATCCCAGCTTGACCTTTTACTAGCTCTGTGACCTTGGGCAAATTATTCCGCCCTTCTTACTCTGTTTCTCTTTGGCAAAATGGGGCTAACACTACCAACATCGCCGGCTGTTTTAAGGACTTAAAGAGAAGTAAGGGAGATATAACCTCTAGAGGTGCTAGAAAAACCACCAAGCAGTCGCTAGGTAGCATTAATCCACACACTCACACCTTACCACTGTTGCAAAATGCTGCCTGACACCCTGGCCAGGCACCCAGCCAGGTTCGGGAGGGAGGGCAGGTCCTCTGGAAGGCAAAGGGTGGGGCTTTCTGAAACAGTCTCCAAACCGATCTGAACAAAGATCCTCAAATAGAAGTGTGCTGACACATCGATGGGGGCATATACAACCTCTCAGGACAAGGTCTTTTGACGGCAATTGTCATCTTTACATAAATATCTACGTAACAACCACATGCTCCTCAGGTCCACTGAATAACTCCATCTGATGCCCCCTTCCCCCAGAGGCAAGCCACTAAGTGGGAAGACCCAGGAAGGATGAGCCCCTTTCCTGTGCCGAACATGGGGACACGGGAATGGCACAGGACTTCGGCCAACTGCTTTCTCTACTCAGTGGGCTGCTAGCCAGGCTGGGGTGGTCCATCAGCAGAGGACACCTGCGGAGCCGGAGGGCAGGGCTGGCAGGGTGTGGGGCCCCTGGCTACCTACAGTCCTTGGATGGGCCAGAGCCCTGTGGAGGCCGGCTGAAGTCTCTGGGAGAAAGAGCAAGAGATGCTTCCCAGAGGAGCTGACCTCTGAAGGACAGGCAGGCACTTTCAGGATGGGGAAGGCCCAGGGCAGAGTATTCCAGGCAGACGGAAGGCAAGAGCAAAGCCAGGGCGCTACAGCTGGGGACGCCTCGCGGACAGGAGTCAGACCAGGCTTTACCGCCACCACTCAGCTTCCCCTCCAAGCCGCGCTGGGCCACCGGCAAGAGAGAAACGATGACCGTGCGGAGCACTTACAACGTACCGAGCAGTGTCCTAGGCGCTCTGTCCACAGCAGCTCGTGGGATCCTCACACCGGGCCCTCGCGGCTGCGCAGCCTTCGGCTCTCCTCATTCTCCACACGAGAAACCTGGGTCGAGAGAAGACTTGTACCTGATCCCAGTCTCACGACGAGGAAATGATTGAGCCCAAATTTCACTGCGGTGCTCTGGCCCTGGGGCCCGTACCCTTCACCACGGCACCATGCCGCCCCTCAGTCAAATGCACGCCCATGCAACACGGTGCCCAGCTCTGGGGGCAAACTTAGGATGCGGTCATTCTTGCTGACATCTTTCCATTAGACTTCTAAAGAACAGGGGCTGGCCACACAGCACCCCGGGGCCCCAGATCTCCCAACACCTCCTTTGGGCCCTCGCCCTGCAGGGACAGCCTAGTGGCTAAAGGCTCTGGGGGACAGACAGCCCCGTGCCCTCGGTCACTACTGGCTGGGGAGCCTGGGCAGGTCCATCTCTCTGGACCTCGGTTTCTCTTCTGACACAGGCCTTTTACAAGGATGAAATGAATTAGTGCCTGTGAAGTCCAATGCCCGGCTCTCAGGCCGGGCTCAACACACGGTCAGGATCTTCTTCATCACCATGGCTGAGCTCCCACCCGGCCCATTCCCTCTGCAGATGCGGAGGACAGAGAACTGAAGATTCCTCCGGTGCCACAGAAATCCAGTGGCTGGATGTAACACAGATCAATAACGTTCCACTTCAGTCAATATGATGGCCAAGAAACAGGTTATTTAGTAAGTAGCCCATTCCTCAAACTTCCTGACAGTAAAACACAAGCGGGACACTTTGCAAAGCCTCTTCCTCCTTGGCCCACGGCTGAGTGAAAAGAAAACCATCCTAAGCTACTCCACACCCAATGGCCACTTGTTTCTCTGTTGCCCCAACTGTTCGAATGACTCAGAAAGGATTTCAGGCTGCAGCTGTCAGCCTCCCCCCGACCCCCACCCCAACTTCCTAACCGACACAGGGCAAGCTGAGCTAGCAGGTTCGACCATCCCTTTAGGAAGGATCAGGATTAAGGTCAAGGCAAACACCCAGGAGTCTGTATGAGGTCACTCAAGGTCTGTCTGTTCAAAGGCCAGGACAACGAGACCATTGTTCTCACTGACTCGGGGCCATCCTAGGCTGGCAGAAGGCGAGGCACCTGTAGATCCTCTCCCTGCCAGGGATGTCGGACGCTATGGACTTCTGGGTCCCCCAGAGGGAGGCAGGTGTGCCGAGGGCAACAGTGGAGCCACAGAAAAAGAGAAACTAGGCCAGAGCCTCCTCATATCTGCTCTTGACTCAGGCAGGGATCCATGAAAGCCGTTATCAAACGCACGAAGGCCATTATCAAACAGGCAACACGCTATCAGCAGCTACACCGGGCTCTGGACCCAGTTCCATGCTCCGGCAGAAGGCCTACTCTGAGCCAGCCTCTCTGGCAGCTGACTGCCAGACTCTAATAGACTCCACCCTCTGCAGCCCTCTCCCACACACCCCAGGACTCTCTAGAGAACACAGCCAATCAGAGCTCTCACATCCCTGCTTAGAACCTTCCATAGTTCCCCAGTGCTTTGGTATTTCATTCAAAACCTTGTGCTCCTGTGCTTGGCATAGAAGGCCCTGTATCAGCTGACCCCAAACCTCCCTTTTCAGCTAGATTTCCTTCCACTCCCCTCAGGGACTGCTCACCCCACCCCAACTCTCCATTCTACCTACTATTCCCAGAAGAAGCAACATGCTTCCAATCACTTGACAAATATTCTGTACCTATAAAAAGATCAGTATGACAGGGATCCTGCCCACAGGAGTTCCCAGCTCTGCCCCCCAGCCTTTGTCCCTACCATTCCCTCTTCCTGGAATACTCTTTCCTATGCCTTCTACAGCTTGAAAATGCCTGCCCATCCTTCAAATTTCAGCTCCTTCTCCCAAAGACTTCATTCTACCCTCCCATGGTGCTCTGTAAGTACTACCTGGCATTTATTATATAGGAATCGGGCATGTTTCTCCATCCAGACTGTGAGCCATGTTGCTCAGGTCTGCATCCCAGCACTAGGTCAATGCCTAACACACAAGGCACTCAGTCAGTGCTGACTGGACAGGGTCATCCAACTCTGGACCAACAGAGAGGAACAGGGGCCAGATTTCTCTCCTGCCTCGACCAACCAAAAACCAGACAAAATAAATGGAACAACAGTTTTCAGACACTGGACATCAGGCATTGCAAGAAAGGGATTCCTGAGACGGGAGAACACACGATTGTCTGCAGCTCACTGCCCATAAAGAGGTTCCAGGCCATGATACAGGGACAGAGTGCCTAGGCAAAGCCTGACAGTCTCGGAGCCCGACAGTCTCCCCACACTGGGGAAAGGAAGTTGGGAGTCCTGGGAGGCCAAGGCAGCCAGACTTTACAGGGCCTATACCAGAAAGGAGATAGCGACACAAAGAGAGAACTCTGGAAATCTGCAAAGGGTCCTTCTCCATTTTTCAGCTGAGTGTTGACAGTACAGATCAGGATTAGGGGGAACACTCCTTGGACCTCAAATTGAGCCAAGAATAATTTGTATCTCGGCCAGAGTGGAAAAACCTAGTAATCCACAGGGTATCCGTGGAGCACTGAAGAAGGTGCTGTTTTGTTAGTGGGGAAAAATTAACCCTGGTCTAAAGATTGTTCTGATCCCAGGTAACAAAACTTAAGAGCAAGCCTTTAAAGAATGAAACTGTTTCCAAGTAACTTAACAGTGTCTCAAAACAATGCCAAGAACATACACAGATATACAAAAATATCCAGCACCCAAGGGGGGAAAATTTGCACCATCTGATGCTGACAAAATTACGAGACATACAAAGAAGCAAGAAAATGGAATCCATGATGAGGGAAAAATCAATCAAGAGAAACAGACTCAGAAATACAGATAACGGAATTTGCATAAAAGGACATTAAAATGGTCACTACAACCATATTCCATATGTTCAAGAAGCTAAAGCAAAAACTGTTAAGTAGGGACGCCTGGGTGGCTCAGTCGTTAAGCGTCTGCCTTCGGCTCAGGTCATGATCTCAGGGTCCTGGGATCGAGTCCCACATCGGGCTCCTTGCTCAGTGAGGAGCCTGCTTCTCCCTCTCCCTCTGCTGCTCCCCCTGCTTGTGCTCTCTCTCTCTCTCTCTGACAAATAAATAAAAATCTTAAAAAAAAAAACAAAAACTGTTAAGTAGAGACATGGAAAATATAAAATAAGATCCAAATATAAACTTGCAGAGACAGAAACTATAATGTTGAGATAAAAAGCATACTGGATGGAAGTAACAACAGATTAGGCACTACAGAAGAAAAGATCGGTGAACTTGAAAAAATAACAATATGAACTACCCAAAACAAATCACAAAGAGAAAAATAAAAAGCCCAGGGGAGGAAACGAATGAAGCATCAGAAAGCTGTGGAACAACAGCGATCAGACCTCCCAATATACCTGTAACTGGAGTCCCCAGAGAAGAGAAAGGAGACAAGAGAAACTATCTGAAGAATTAATGGGCTGCAAACTTTCCAAATTTGATGAAAGCTATAAATCCACAGATCCAAAAAACTCAAATAACCCAAGCACCGTAAACAGGAAGAAAACTATACCAAGGCGCATCATGATGATTAAGTTGTTTAAAACCAGTGATAAAAAGGGGCGCCTGGATGGCTCAGTCAGTTAAGCATATGCCTTCAGCTCAGGTCATGATCTCGGGGTCCTGGGATTGAGCCCCACATCAGGCTCCCTGCTCAGTGAGGAGTTTGCTTTTCCCTCTCCCTCTGCCCCACTCCTGCTTGTGCTCTCTCTCGCTCACTCTTTCTAAAATAAATAAATAAAATCTTAAAAAAAAAAAAAACAGCGATAAAAGAAGGAAAAAGGGCACAGTCGAAATGGAACAACAAAAAATAAAAAGGACAACTGATTATTCATATGAAACAATGCAAGCCAGAAGACACTGGAACCACATCTTTAAATGTTGAAATTATATGGACCAACTTAGAATTCTATACCCAGGGAAAACACCTTTCAATAACAAAGGCAAAATAAAGACTTTCTTAGACATCCAAAAGCTGAAAAATTCATCACCTGCAAGAAATATTAAAGGAAGTCCTCAAGTCAGAAAGAATGTGAAACAAAATGGATCTACACAGAGGATATAAATATAAAATAGATTTTCTTTTTGATTTCTTTACAAAATAATTGACTGTTTACAGCAAAATAATAATAATGTATTGTGGGATTTATAACATATGTAGAAGTGAAATGTGTGACAACAAAAGTACAAAGTCCAGGAGGAAAGAAATAAATGTATACAAAATGGTATATCATTTGATGACAGACTGTGACAAGTTAAAGATGCATACTATGGGGGCGCCTGGGTGGCTCAGTCGTTAAGCGTCTGCCTTCGGCTCAGGTCATGATCCAGGGTCCTGGGATCGAGCCCCACATCAGGCTCCCTGCTCCGCAGGAAGCCTGCTTCTCCCTCTCCCACTCCCCCTGCTTGTGTTCCCTCTCTCGCTGTCTCTCTCTCTGTCAAATAAATAAATAAAATCTTAAAAAAAAAAATTTTTTTTAAAGATGCATACTATGAATCTAAGGCAACTGCTAAAAAACAAACAAAAAAGAGTTACAGCTAATAAACTAGCATAGGAAACAAAATGAAATCATAAAAATTACTCAACCCCAAAAAGATCAGGAAAAAGAAAAAAAAAGGAAATGGGAAGAAAGAATATTGGACAAATTGAAAACAAACAGCAAGATAATAGTTAAGCCCAACAATACTAATAATAATATTAAACGTAAATGTTTTAAACAACCCAATTAAAAGGCAGAGATTATAAAACTGAATTTTACAAAATGCAAAACCTATCCATATGTTGCCTACAAGAACCCACTTTAAAGACACACATAATTTAAAAGTAAAAGGACATAAAGAAATACACCAAGCAAACATTGATTTTTGAAACACTATCCATTTTTAAATTGTAATAAAAAATATATAACATAAAAATTACCATCCGAACTATTTTAAAGTGTACAGTTTTATGGCAGTAAGTACACTCACACTGTTATACAACCATCACCACCACCACCTCCAGAATTTTTTTTATCATCCCAAATTGAAACTCTAATTCCCATTAAACACTAATTCCCTATTTTTCCCTCCTCGGCCCCTGGCAACCACCATTCTTCTTTCTGACTCTGAACTTAACTACTCTAGGAACCTTACATAAGAGGACTCATGCAATATTTGTCCCTTTGGTGATTGGCTTGTTTCACTTCACATTATTTCTTCAAGTTTCATCCATGTTGTAGCACATGTTAAAATTTCCTTCCTTTTTTTTTTTTTAAAGATTTTATTTATTTATTTGATAGAGATAGAGAGAGGGAGAGCACAAGCAGGGGGAATGGCAGGCAGAGGAAGAGGAAGAGGCAGGCTCCCCGCTGAGGAAGGAGCCCGACGTGAGGCTTGATCCCAGCACTCTGGGATCATGACCTGAGATGAAGGCAGCTGCTTAACTGACTGAGCCACCCAGGCGCCCCAATTTCCTTCCTTTTTAAAGCTAGATAATGTTCTATGTATGTACCACATTTTGTCTGTCCATTCATCTGTCAATGGATGTTTGGGTTGCTTCCACCTTTTGGCTACTGTGCATAATGCTGCCATGAACCCCAGTGTACAAATATATTAGTTGAGTCTCTGCTGTGATCTCTTTAGGGCATATACCCATAATTGGAATGGCTGGATCATATGGTAATTGTATATTTAATTTTTTGAGGGATTGTCATACTGTTTTCCACAGCAGTTGTGCATCTGACATTCCCACAGCAATAATAAGAGTTCCAGTCTCTCTACATCCTCTTGCCAACACTTCTGGGTTTTTTGATAACGGCCATCTTAATGGGTGTGAAGTGGTATTTCATTGTCATTTTGATTCTCATTTCTCTAATGACCAGTGATGTTGAATATCTTCATGTGCTTATTGGTCATTTGTATATCTTCTTCAAAGAAATGTCTATTCAAATCCTTTGCCTATTTTCATCAGATCACTTTTTTTGAGATGTAGTTCTGTATATATTCTGGATATCCAATAATTTGTTAAAAGCCGGATTCACTATATTAATATGAGATGAAGTAGATTTCATTACCAGGGGTTGAAAGGGTCAATTCATCAAATGACACTCCAAAATGTTTATGTATTTAATAACAGAGCTTCAAAATACATGAAGCAAAAACTGAAAAAACTACAAGGAGAAATGGACAAATCAACCATTATAGTCATAAGTTTCAATGACCCTTTTCCACTAACTGATAGAACAAGTAGACAGAGAAAAGCAGTAAGCAGTTAAGACTTAAACAGCACTACCAACCAACTTAACTGACATTTATTCAACACTCCACTCAACAAAGCAGGAAACACATTTTTCCCAAGTGTTTATAGAACATTTACCAGGGAAGACCATATCCCGGGCCATAAAACAAGTCTCAGTAAATTAAAACATTTCAAATCATACAAAGTACATCCTTTGTTTACAAAGAAATTAAGTTAGAAATCAGTGTTTACTGGACAGAAAGAGAAAGTATTAGTATAATGCTGACTTTGTGTCTTCTACTACTTGTTATCCTGCCAAGGATAGATACATTAGCAGGGGGACGAAAGTACTTAATGTCTTCGATGCTAGGCATACCTGACCTGGGCTATCTGTTTGATACCGTGTTCATGGTTGAGTCTCTCCTCTCCTCTCCAGCCCATCCTAAGCCCCAGGGGCCCCACTTGTCAGCACCAGCCAAATCAGGACAAACCTGTTTGGTATTTGCTCAAGGCTCTCACAGAAACCAACGAAGGGGAAGAGAAATGCAGTAGAAGGAACACCTGCGAAGTATACATACCTTTTAAGTGCCCCAATCCTCAGAGACATCGCCACTACAGAGATCTCTGTGTTACAGGGCAACTATTCAGGAACAAACTGGAACCTTATGAAAACCCTAGACCCTGAACAGAAACTAACAGAATTTTGGAACAAGAGGATCCAGTGGGATGAAAACAAGGTATTCAATGACCCGATTATGTCAGCCTGGAAAAACCCTACTGGTACTGGCCAAAAGTATCTGGAAATGATTCACATGGCTAGTTAGCCCAATGCCCTTTTGATGGCAGATTTATGTCAGATTAGCAAATTTCACAGCAATAAGTAAAAAGAAAACAAGAATCCTTAGAAATAATCTCACTTCCAAGTATAGAAAATCTACAAAGTCCTTAAGGTGGTGCTTCTCAAATTTGACTTTCAAAAAGAATCACTCAGTGCATATGTAAAAAATACTGATTCCTGGGACCCCTCCAGACAATCTCCAGAAGTTTGGCTCTGTATTTTTAACAACCACCACAGGCAATTCTTTTTTTTTTTTTTTTTTTAAGATTTATTTATTTATTTTCGAGAAAGAGAGAGAACAAGAGAGGGGAGGGGCAAGGGAGAGAGAGAGAGAGAACCCTCAAGCAGACTCCCTGAGTGTGGAGCCCGACACAGGGCTCAATCCCAGGACCCCAAGACGATGACTGGAACTGAAACCAAGAGCCAGATGCTCAATCAACTGAGCCACCCAGGCTTCCCTAAGCATCACAGATGATTCTTAAGGTCCAGCAAGAACATTAGCTTTGAAATGAGACTAAGGGGTTAAAAATCCTGACTCGGCACTTCCTGGCCCTGTGACCAAATTATGTAACATCTCTGCAACTCCCTTTCCACCTGTAAAATGGGATCACCACTGAAGTGTTCTCAGAATTCACTATGTTCACAAAGCCCCTAAAACAGGCCAAGAGCACATGGCAGTCAAGCAAGAAATCAGAGCTAGTGCTACTTAAACCCAGCCAACAGAAGCTGCCCAGATGAAGAAATCTAAAATGAAATGTTCTATCTAATGGAAATTACAAAGGCACCAAGCCAGTTTCCAAGATAATTGAGGAAAAAAGCCTTTCTGGGCACTATGACCGCCAAGAACAAAGACTCTCACTTCAGCAGCCAATAGCTACCCAAGCCCTTCCTCCCACCCAGAACCACAAGGTCCAGGCCTGGGCTGCAGCTTTGCACAAGAGCCAAAGAAAGTCCTTCCTCCCCAAATCCCTCTGTCACCGCCACCTGCAGCTCTAGGGCCGACAGTCCTAAGAGTCAGGTGGCAACATCTCGGGGGCACCAGTAGTAAACAGAACTCCTGGAAAATAGGCAAGGAGCCAACGAAGGGAGTGGAAAAGGGCTGAGTCAGCAACAGGATTACTTAGTGAAGGGCAGTGAGTCTGTGAAGTTTCCAGGGCTAAAGGAGGCATTGCTAGGGTGGGTGAAGCCCGACACTGTGTTGGAGTTGATGCAGGGTCAACTCTGCCAGTAACTCACAACACAGCCCGAGGTAGCTCCTTCTCCCACCCATAATGTGGGAAACTAAGCACCTTATTGGATGTGGGGAAGAAATGAGGAGGAACCAGGCACCTATGAGAGATACACTGACACGCAAACACCCCACTGCCCTTTGTACCCAAGGGGAACGGGACATATACTGGAGAGAGATACAAATACATACAGATACACACACACACACACACACACCAATGCCCTTTGCACCCAGCAGGTCCAGGGGTAGGGTTTGGTCAGGGATGCTGGGCGCTCCTAGTCTGGGTACAGAAAAAAGGAGAACAGAGCCGAGGCTGAAAGCCCCTTTCTTTCACTGTCCTGGGGAAAGGGCACAGGCAGGGAGTCACAGACCAGAGTCTCTGTGACCCCACCCTGCCACCGGCCTCCCGTGTGACCTCTGGCTCCCACTCTTAGGCCTGCTTCCCCATCTGTACAATGGGCAAACGCGCTCTAACGTCACTAGAACTGTGCCCAGCAAGATGCTCAAATATGGGGTGGAGGGGTGGAGGGTGGAGGTGAGGAGTGGGGCGGGGCCGGAGGCGCCACCTGCAGGGGGAAGGGACGGGAGCGCGCTAGGGGCAGGGGCGCCGGCCTCCCTCCCTCCAGCGGCGAGGGGCAGAGGCGCCCGCGGCAGTGACGCGCCCCTCGCACCCAATCACCGGCCTCTGCCAGGATGAGGCCGACAGGCGGAGGCGCGCCGGGAGCCACTGCCAGCGCCACCCCCTTCCCCGTCCTTGCCCCTCCCCGGGTCCCGCTCACCTGCCCGGCCGCCGCCACCGCTGCCGCCACCGCCGCCGCGGGTTAAACCACGGCCCGCGCCCACACTTCCGGGGCCCGCAGGCCCGCCCCCTCCCGCCGGATGTGACACCCCTCCAACGTCCGGGCCTGGGAGAGGGGCCCGCGCCGCTCGTCCCGCACCACGCTGGGTGGCCCGTGGGTCTGAGTCACCACGACACCGCTCCCCGCCTTCACCCCTCCCCCGGGCCACAGCCACGGGAGTCCCCACGAGACCCTCCCGCGAGCGGCGGACGCCCGGCCCCGCCCCCTAAAGGCCTCCGCCCCTCCCCTGGGAGGGGCACCGCCCATTGGGCGGAGACTCGACCGCCCAGGGCGAGTGCGCCTGCGCAGACATCTGGCGTAGTCTCTGGCGGGCGAGGAAGGGGCAGGTCCGTTTTATGCGGCTCGGCTTTGGGGAGGCTGTTGAAAGCGACCCGAAAGGGGCCCGAGAAGAATCGAATGGAATCCCAGCACGTGGGGAACGCCCTAGGTGGTCCGAGCTCAGGCTGAGGACCACACGCCCGCGGCCGTGACACCGTTTGGCCCCAGGACGGGAGTCACCACGGACCTGTCTTGTGTCCTTGCTTGGCAGATAAGTGCCTGTCAGTTTGGAACTGGCTGGCGGGTTCCTCAAAACAACTCTGCGTAGTTTCCCGAGGCCCTAGACTGCACTTTTAGTCCATTCTGTGTGGGTAGTGCTTGACGGATGTCCTCATACATCCTCCCTTGCCCCGAATCACGAGACTGATGACCTGGGAGGAAGGGCCTGATGCCAGCCAGCGCTCTCTTCCCTGGGCAGCCCAGTCCCTGTTTTGCCTCTCAGCAGGGTCCATGATAGCTTTGTAAAAGTGGGGCCCCAGGAGGAGAGCTTCTTAGACCAAGGAAACCGTACCGCCCAGAACTCGCAATCTTATTAGGTGTTGAATTAAGACCATCATTGCTAGTGACAGAAACCCAACTCAAACCAGCTTCGGGAGATTGGGAATTATTGGGTCACATAACCATAAAGTCCAAGGCGGATGGTAGCACCAGGCACAGCAGTATTCAAGGCCTCATCCTCCTTACTTGACTCTGCTCTTTCCTTTGTGACATCAAAATTCCTTTCAGAAGATAGTCTCAAAATTTCTATTTCAAATTCTAGAGAGAATGGATCTGATTGGCTGTGGTGATCACCACCGCCCCTGTTGGGCAGAGCTTCCTCTTTCTTGCCCTCTCCCGGCTGCCAGGTGGCTTATGGATCAATCACCCTTGGGCCAGATGATCACACTTCACTCAGTGAGCACCCCTAGAGCGCAGAAGGGATCATGAGGAAGGCAGTCTCAGCTACTGACTTATTTGAGGGATATCATGGCTGGTTTTTGCAAACATCTCACTTTGAACATAACATCAGAGTGGCTCCTGTTGACAGCAGCTGTCCGAAACTGGGGTGAAACTGTTTCTGAGGGGTTGGGCGGACCAGGGCAGATGACCTTCACTTTGTGTCATAAACCTTTTGTGCTATATAATTTTTAATCTTGTGCATATGTTACTTTGGTGGTTAAAAAAAATTAGAAAACACAGGGCGCCTGGGGGGCTCAGACAACTGAAGATCCGACTCTTGATTTTGGCTCAGGTTATGAGATCGGGCCCTGCATCCCGCTCGGTGCTGAGCTTGGGATTCTCTCCCCTCTCCCTCTGCCCCTTCCCCCTTCGCTCGCGCACGCATGCATGTACTCTCTCTAAAAAAAAAAAAAAATTAGAAAATACTACTGATGGATTAACTTGAGTTTATATTCAGCAATCCTTTCATTCACTGCTACTGTGTTGGCAGGTGAAATGGGCATGTGATGCTTGGAGGGAAAGTAGTCATCTTGAACTGTGACTTGACCGTGGAATGGAGGCCGTACCTGGAGGCACAACAAAACAGAAGGAGCCTGAGCCCTGGCGCCATGGAGCATCGTGACACTGCTGGATGCTTGCCTCTGGACTTCCACGGGAGAGGGAAATAAACCACCTTGTGTAAGCCACGCTTGTTTGGGGTTTTCTGTCACTCGTGCCCCTTAGGTATTAGACTCTACTGGAAAGCCCCTCTTGTACCCCCAAGACTCGGGAAGTGCCCCCTCATCTGTTCTTCAAACACCCCACACTTTCCTTTCTTAGCATTTACTACATTTTTGTGTAACTGACCTTTCACTCCCCCTGGATAGTAATTTTCATAAGGACAGGCAGAACCTATTTTATACACCATTTTCTGCAAATGCTAGAAACTCCTGAAACAGTGACAGTAATAACTTGCGAAGGTGACAGACACAGTGATTCCACCCAGGGTGTTGAAAGGAAATGACAAACTGCTGCATACTTTCCGCATCAAACGGGTCATTGCCAAGTCATCTGGGTTTGGGAGGTGGGGGTGGGGCTGGCCCTAATAAATCACCAAAGATGGAGAATTAGGGCAAAGGAGGGAGGGAGGAAAAAGTGGCAGGAAATTTGAGTCATCTGAAGCAGATGGCACCGGGAAAGGGTGCTCTTCCTACTTTGTTTCCTCCATTTTTCCACTCCTGGCTCTTTTCAGCTCCCCCTGGCTCTAGCCCACCCCCTTTGGTCCTGGTGTCCTATCACTGGCACTTATGTCCCCTCTAACATGCCTCATTTATACCCAATTTCATTCATATTTCAGAGTGACCCTGATACATGCAAAAGAGAGGGAGAGAGAGAGCGCAAGAGAAGACAGCTCCTTATTCTTCTCTTATTCTTTCATTCCACACACATTCAGTGCTAAGAACTGCAGATACAAAGGTGAACAGACACCATCTCCAGCCTCAGGGAAGTTACACTGTTGGTTGGAATTTGAGAGGACACAGGAGATCTGTGTTCCCCAAGACATCTCAGTCCTTCAGACAATCAAGAACAAAAAAAATAGCAAAGTCAAAATATTCATTGTGTTTCCTCTCTACCCCCTTCTACAAAGTGTTTGTTTGTTTGTTTGTTTGTTTGTTTAGCTCCTCAGCACTGGATCTTGTTATGTCCATTTATTGGATGGGGAAGTGATGTCAACGGAAGTGAGGAGAGCTAGACAGGTAGGTCAGAGTTTAAGATATAACAAGATATTTGAGAAGCTGAGGTATTGGGGGGCAGGGATTTGGGAACTGACTGAAAAAGCAGTTTTAAAGGAAGTTTCAACCTGCGGTATGCATGATCCCCAATTCGGTCTCCAGGAGATCTTCAGTGAGGACTTTGTCTAATTTTTTTCTGGACTTGCAAGTCAGATTGGTCTGGCTGGTTTCTCACTGGGGCTCCTTCCTTCTGACTGCCCCTCCACGCTCAGCAGTTCTACCTGTACGACTCAGAAAGAAATTGCACACTATGGTGGGGGCTGGTAGCTCCCAACAAAGTTACCCACTCTCTGGCCTTCCTTAAAAACTAGGATATATTTTATTTTATAGCAAAGTTCCCAGTAGCTTAAAAACTGCAATTCTCAACCTCCTTTGCTGTTATGACTGGGTGAGTAGGGGTGCCTGGGTGGCTCAGTTGGTTAAGCATCTGACTCTTGATCTCAGTTCAGGTCTTGATCTCAGGGTCGTGAGTTCAAGCTACTTGGAAGGCTGCTTTAAAGGAGCTGAGTCAGCTGGGAGGTGAGTCATTTTGCCTTCCCCACCTTCTTAACGGCTGCTTCAATTTCAGATGTGATGGCTGGAACTTCTGCAGCTGTATTGGACCATGAGGTGACCTAGAAAGTGGAAACCATTCAAGCTCTGGATGGCCTACCCCCAGACTGGTTTAAGTGGGAGCGGGAAAAAAATTAAGTTTTATCTTGTTACAATTACTTTAGGTTTTTTGTAATGTGTATCCAAACTTAAACCTGATATGGTTATGGTTAATATGGTACTGCTTTATTATTATCTGGTTGGGTTTGGTAAATGAGTTTATGTTTTACAAATTTCTTTCCTTTATTATTTTATTAAATTTATACAGAAACCACACACACACACACACACACACAGTCTTCTGTCAATGCAACATTGTTATTATAAACATATATGCTCTCTTAAAGTATAGCTTTTGAATTTTTTTTCTTTTCATTTTTTGCCCAGGGTTTCCCTACTTATTAACAGCCTAGTGTATATCCTCTCATATAATCTCATCCAAATCTGAATCTACTGACTGAAAGAGGCTGAGGGGCAGGGTGGGGAGAAGCAAAGGAAAGTAAAGTACAGGCACGTGAATGAAGGTGGAGACCATTATTGCTTGTCATAAATATTCTAGCTGGATCACATTTTCCTACCCCCCCTCCAGCCACCCCCCCCTCCCCGATTTGCCACGACTGTGGAATTTACTTTGGCCACTGCAACGTGCGCAGAGGTTACTATATGTCACTTCCAGGTAGAAGCCTTCACAAACCAGAGTCCAATTTGCCACCCATCCCCTTCCCTTGCATCAAGAGGGCACATCCATCAGCTTTTCTCCCTGCGTGACTGTGATGAGTAGGGCACCCTGTTAAGCCATGTCAGATGTGAGTAAGCAATAAGTCTTATTAGAGTGACAATTAGAGTGTGGAGAATAAAAACCATATCTCCTGGGCCGCCTGGGTGGCTCAGTTGGTTAAGCTTCTGACTCTTGGTTTCAGCTCAGGTCATGATCTCTCGGACATGAGATCAAGCCCTGCATCAGGCTCCACGCTGAACATGGAGTCTGCTTCAGATTCTCTCTTCCTCTCCCTCCCCCTCAGTTCCTCTCCCCACTAGTTTGCTCTTTCTCTATATATCTCTCTCTCTCAAATAAATAAATAAAATCTTTTAGAAACCAAGTGTCCTTCCATGGACTTAGGAATGAGTCAAGTGAGATTCCTGCCCTCCAGAACTTGTGGTCTAGCAGGGGTTTCAGAAAATTAAGCAAGGGCAAAGCCACATGGCAGAGAAAACTTCAGGGTGCTCTAGGAAAATATGGGAGAAAAACTTAAGTGGGTCGAGGTCTCGGTCTATCAGTTGCCTGAAAAAGAAGCAGAAGACCATCTTAGGTCTTCTTAGGTCAGTGTCCCCAGAAATAGCCCAAAACATGAGGTTTCATGTCAAAGAAATGTATTTCAAAGTTGCTCTCAGAGAAACCAGTGAGGGGCAGGGGAAGCAGGACCGGGATGGGACCAAGACAAGCCTGGGTGTGATTCTGCACGAGTCTGCAGACGGAAGCTCCAGCCTGCTCCCACAGCAAACCCTGGAAGGTAAGCCTGGCCTCCAAAATGCCCAACCCAAGGCAGAGGAGCTGGGCTCTCCCGCGGCCACAAGCTCGTCTGAGAGCCATCCTGTGGCCACTGGGCCGTCGTAGTAGATCCTCCAAAGACAGGTGACAGGTGCTGCTAGAAACAAAAGCACACCAAAGCCAGGGAAAATGCAACCTCAGATAATGTCGACGTGTCTCGAGCCCCCCCCTGCTCTCACCAGTGTCAGCTCAAGAATCCCACCAAGGCATAGAGCCTCTTCTAAGTCTCTAGAGTGAGCCCATTCTGGTGACCTAGGGAGGAGCCCTCAGTTGGAGCAAGAGGGTACATCACCGCAGCATTTAAATCCCCCCACACTCCCCACATAGTCACACAGACACACGCGCGTGCACACATTCATAGACACACTCACCCACTCGCACGCACGCACGCATGCATGCACGCACATTCCAGGTTTTTAAGAGCAAGAGGGAGGGCATGGTGTGATTGCTGATGAAGTGCTCAGCAAGACAGGCCGGCTCAGTGTCCAGCTTGGGCTCCCAGGAACTTTAAGCCTTGGTGTCCCACCGTGGCTCCCCACGCTTCCATCCACACTGGCCTTGGGATGGGCCATGATAAGGCCCGCAGTCAAACACAGCTTCCCACGCCCAGGGCCAGCTGGTGTCAGAATGGAAGGACAGCCTCTCCTCTAGGCCGCAGGCCCCAGGCAGACCCCACCAGGGGGAGGTCAGGCAGCTTCAGGCTAGAGGCCCACCACGCAACCCGTTCATCCCAGGCTGGACAGCCCCCCAGACCTAACATCACACAGCCAGGGAGAGGCCGACTCGGGCCTCAGACATGGGCTCCACCAGGCCTCAGAGCTCCAGTCAGTTTTGTCACTCAGTGGTCTTGGTCCGGGGTGACCTTGGCCGAGTCCTTGCTGTTCTCTGGGCCTTGATTCCTCATCTGTAAAGCCAGAGATGGAACCAGATGGCCCCTCAGTCATGACATTGCACTAAGAGACAGCTCCCTCTTAACCCCTAAACCCCGGACAGTCTTCCCACATACAGCAGTCTAACGGGTATGAATTTAAGTCCAAAATACATGATCAACTTTATGTAATATTCACATAGCACCTACCAAGAATCGAAGCACCCTACACATATTAACACAGAAGGCTCTGTTATTGTTCCCTCTTTAAAGGTGGCGATGGGCACCTGGCTCGGTAGAGCAAGGGACTCTTGATCTCAGGGTCCTGAGTTCAAGCCTACTTAAAAATAAATAAATAAATAATGAAAAAATAAAGATGGTGAACAGGAGGCACAGAGAGAGGAAGTAACTTGTCCAAGTTCGCACAGCGAGTCCATCTGGCCTCCAGCGCTGCGTTCTTAAGCTCTGCTCCCACTCCTTTATAAGCAATGTTACATCCTTTCATTACCCTGACTCAAGTGCAGTCTTCCCTCCCTTCCCGGCCACAGAATCCAGTGAGATTTGCAGACTGTTATGGGGTCAGGAACAAATGGGGGTGGGGTCCAGACAACATGGGGGTCACCCATACAACCGGAGCTCCCCCCCAGCTACGGACGGTGACATGTCAGTGCCCTCTGTCTCTGGACAAGTCACACAGGTGCCCCTCCCAGGGCCAGCCCTCGGGGGTCCCACCAGCTCCTCTGAAGGCCACATGCTCAGCACCCTCCTACCTCCGATCACTGCCCCTCCCGGCAGAGCTGAGTGGGAAGAGAAGCAGCCTCGGCCCTGCATGGAAGCCGCCAGGCCCTGTGTCCCCCAGAGAGGGCCTCCCCCTCCTTTCCATCCTGGCACCTGCTTCTGTACCCACCTGCCCACTGGCGGGCGCCCTCATGGAACCTCGCCCCCCAAACCCGGGCAGGGGCAGGAGTTTTCTGCAGGGTGGTTCTGCACCATGGCAAAGCTGCCATTCCTTCTGTCCTGCTATGAGAACAGGAAGGAAATTAACATTTCCACATATTACACCAAGCTCCTTTCTGTGCAAAGCGCTTGGCAAATAGTTCAAGGAACAAGAAGTTGATAACAGAAGGTGTTACAAAATTCAAGTTAAATCTGTCTTCCCACAGTTGAAACTTGGCCCTGTTCCACTGTGAAAATTCGCCGTAGAGTAAGTCTAGTCCCTCGTTTTATCGAAAACCTTCCACCTCATGGAAGTCTTGATTTTCCAGGGTCAACAGCCCTCCAGGACGTCTGTGCCCTCTCGCTCTTCCCCATCGCCCCTCCCTCTCTCCCCTCTCCCACGACCTGTCCACACACTCCCCCACCCGTTTCCCCAGTCCCCCTGCTCCGTCTTATGTCCTCCCTTCCTCTTAACCTCCTTCTTCTCTTGCAGCCTTCTCCTGGGCCGGCCTCCTTCGTTCTCCACGGTCTGACATCTCACTCCCCTACTCGGCGCTCCCCATCACGCAGGACGAATTCCACGCTCTTGAGCGTGGCATTCAAGGCCCACCCGTGGCCATGACCTGGTCTTTGCTCTCCTTTCCCGAGTTATCCCTTGTGTATCATTAGTGCTGTCCTCCCAGATTTTTCTAGTCTTCATTCTAAACACATGCTGGATTACACTTCCATGGTCCCTTGAAATTCAGCATGGCCCTGTGACTCGTTCAGACCCGTGAAATTCGAGCAGTAGCGGCGCGTGGCACTCCGGGCAAAAGGGCTGTGACGGCCCGTGTGCGAGCTCGCGTGGGCCCCGCCCCCGCCACGGCAACCGGAGGCGCTGGCGGGTGGCCAAGTCTCCATCGGTCTGCGTCCCCGAGGGGCGGCATCTCCAATCACAGCCCCACATGACCTGCAATGGACACACGGAAGTCCTAGAAAGAAACATTATTTTTAAGTGGGGTGTTGCTTGTTGCTGCCCATTCTAATATAATGTGTCCCTTGGGCCTATGACCTTTGCAATTCCACCTTGCCTGGCTACTGAACGTCCCTTGGGCTCACTGGGATGCCAAGGCTGCCCTCTTTGACTGACATTCTCTGCTCCCCGTGCCCCCTCAGCAAAATCCTCTCATCCGTTGAGACTCAGGGCAGTTGCCACCCCTACCAGGAAGCCCTCCTAACTTTCCACCCAAGGCAACGGAAGGGAAGGAAAAATTCTTCTCTACCCTCAAGGTCTTCTAGCTAGACTAAGAATTCAATTTACATGAGACAGACTAATAGGAGAAAATAAAAACCAAAAGATTTATTACATGCACACAGAGGCCAAACAATGAAATCGAGATCCAAAGAAATGACCAAGGCAGGGAGTTTTTATACTTTTTAGACAAAGAGACAATAAATTTGTGAGGAATTGACAGGACAAAGAAAACTTAACTTTGGGAGCTTTGATTAGGAATTCTAAACAGAATTTGTGCTGGGGTAAATTAGTAAAAAGTAACAAGGGTCATTTACACAGTCTTCTTGGATCTAAATTTCCCATCTCTGGTGATAAGGATCTCTTTAGCTCCTAGTACAGGGCGGGGACCTTTCACAGGGGAGATTTATTTTCTGCTTTCACGGGAACAGAGGAGGGTATGAGTGCCCTTCTTGCCAGACTGTCTCTTAAGTAACTTCTATTTAAAATAATCAATATGCCAGGGCACCTGGGGGGCTCAGTAGGTTAAGCTTCCGAATCTTGATTTGGGCTCAGGTCATGATCTCAGGGTCGTGAGATCAAGCCCCGCGTCGGGCTCCACGCTCAGTGCAGAGTCCGCTTGAGATTCTCTGCCCCTCCTTGCCTGCTCTCCCTCTAAAAAGAAAGTGTTCACTGAAAAGAAGAGTCTCTAACATATCTAATAATTATGCCCTCCGTCTCCCTTCCTCCCCTCCTGTCGCTCCCCCACATCGTGTCCTGACCCCCACGCCCAGCATTAATTGACAGAAGAGCAGTCAAGAGCATGGAATTTGCAGTCAGGCAGACCTGGGTTCAAATCACGACTGTACTACTCACTACTAGCCGTATCTCCTCAAGGGAGTACTTGACTCCTCCAAGCCTCAGTTTCCCCATTTGTAAATTGGGGACAATCTCAACCTCGTAGGGCATCCATGGAAAGCACATGGGAGAATGTATCCAGCATCTGTGGGGCTCCTTGAATGAGTCAGGCTCTAGGCCTGGGAGACTGGAGTGGCCACGGAAGGCCTCGCTGAGGAGGGGATAGTAGAGATGACAGCTGAAATGGGGAGGAGCCAGCCATGCAAAGGGCTGGGAGAAGAACATTCCAAACAAGGGAAGCACAATTGCAAAAGCCCAGGGTAACCAAATTCCATAAATGGCCACTTTTCCCTGATGGCTAATGATGATGTATTTACCCCAAAGACACAGATGTAGTGAAAAGAAGGGCCATAAGACCCCAATGTTCATAGCAGCAATGTCCGCAATAGCCAAACTGAGGAAAGAGCCGAGATGCTCTTCAACAGATGAATGGATAAAGAAGATGTGGTCCATATATACAATGGAATATCATTCAGCCATCATCAATGATGAATACCCAAGTTTTACATCAACATGGATGTGCCTGGAGGAGATTATGCTAAATGA